TGGGTTGGAAAACATGCCAAACCCAGGGCATTTGGACTTAACAGTTAGGTAACAACCATCCTCTATTAGCATGCATAAAGGGATGACCATCCTACTTGAGACAGGCTTAAAGGGATGGCCCTTTTCCTTTAAGTCTAGCCTGGGAAAAAAGCTCAACCTAATAGGCTCAACTACATCTAATATCTTGGATCTTAATTTTTTTTATACCTTTTAAGTGAATAAAAGTCATTTAAGGACTCATCATATTTCTATCAAACATTAAAGACCCTTCTCTTCACAATAATATAAATGTAAGGGGTATTTATACCTCATTAAATGCTATAAGGATAAAATTACACTTTAGACTCTCTTCTTCATAAAAAAAATAAGACTCGTGAGCTATAAATATACTATGAGACTTTTAAATTAAATATTTACAATCTTTATTCTAATTCCACATATATATTCAGAGCATCTTTTCTTAGAATATTATTGTATTTTTAGAGCATCTCTCTCTATTAAAAGAGATATTTTGTAGGTACTAGCTACAAGCCACATTTACCTACCAAACACCAAGTATAAACTATCAATTATCTTGATGAATGGATTAAAGTGTTAAAGACCAATTCATTAAATAACTATCCAACTTGAAAGCCTTATTCCTAAGCTACTTGAATTTTGTAGGACTTTATTAGTTTCATCATATGTGAAAAACTAATAAAAAAGCCATTAGTTTCTTTTTAAAGCTTGCTTTTAACATTTTCAAACCATTTCATGGCGCACAACCAATCCCCACATTGGCTAAGAAGCATGACAAGTCTTCTCGTTACTATAAACACTCTTACCCAAACAAAGCTTCAACAACCCTTCAATCAAGTTCAACTCCTCACTGAGGCAGTGCTAGCCATTTAAAGTGAGACAAGAAAATTTAGGTTATGCCTTGCCAATTTCATAAATATGGTTAGAGCCTTAAGATTTTAAAAATATTTAACAAGTACGAGTAAAATATTGGTTCAAACCATAAAACATGTGAAGTATTTTTTATAATGATCCAAAAGAAAAGGAAAAGTCTCCCTCACACTGGACACTCTGTTCAAATAAAAATTTACCATAGTCGATAAGAATAAGAATGTAAGTTTTTTATATATAAATGACTTATTCAAAATGGTTGTTTAGGTGATGCCTAAGGGGATTTCAATAATACATCTTGGAAGAGATGAACTTGGTCTCCCTGATGTTATATGCATCACTCTTTATGAGATCGGCTTGGTCTTTCTAGTGTTATATGCACCAATCCTTAGTGGATAAACTTAATCTCCTCAATCTTCAAAGGATAGATGTAATCTTCTCAGTGCTATATGCATTAATCTCCAAGGGATAAATGCAATTGATCTCTCTAGTACAAATAACATCATATAATCGCCACTCTCGATAAAGAGGTTCTCATGCCCTATAAAAAAAAAATCATGATGTCCATTTTTTAGTGATGGCTTTTAAGTCCTGTGATAGTGCTAAGAAAGCTATAGGCTCATGCTGCATAAAAAAAAAAAAAACCATGATGGTCATTCTTTAGTTGATGGCTTTTAAACCTTTTTACAATGCTAGGAAAACTACATGCCCATACCCAAAAAAAAAAAAATATGAAGGCACTCTTTAGTGGATGGTTTTTAAGCCTCATGATAATTTTAGGAAAGCTGAACAAGAACCTAGAATCACTTAAAAGTTTCAAAATATAAGTTCAACCTCATTGGATTCCACATAACCACTTAGAATCAAAAAAAAAAAAATATGAAGGCACTCTTTAGTGGATGGTTTTTAAGCCTCATGATAATTTTAGGAAAGCTCAACAAGAACCTAGAATCACTTAAAAGTTTCAAAATATAAGTTCAACCTCATTGGATTCCACATAACCACTTAGAAATTTATATAGAGAATGAGCATAGTACTCTCAATCTCTTAAATATTTTCTAAGTAGAAATTCTTGTTCTTTCATATATGAAAGAATTTCTTTTAGTCTAAATGCATATTTTTCTATATTATTCCTAGCTTACACCTCTTGCAAAACTTAACTTACTACTCTACCTAAACTGGAAGATTAATTAAATCTTTGCATACTATTTTATTATCGAAAATATTGGGGGCTATTGATGAACTAAATTTTTATCAGTTTATCTTAACTAAAAAATATTGGATAAAAAAAAGATTTACAAGTATAAATTTTCAAAAAAAACAAGCATGCCTCAAGTGAATGCAAACTGCCACGCCCATGCTGGGTTTGGTGGTAGTTAGACCCGAACATGATGAGTTTCGTGCTAGTAAGACCTAAACGCGATTAAGCTTGACAATGTGCCAAGTCTTGGGCACACCAGGTCTCGCGTTAGCCAAACCCAAACACACATGCCAAGCCTCAAGAACATATAAATAAATGATCATTCTCTTTTGACATGCCTAAGAAAATGACTAGATCCTCCCTTAGGCATGCCTAGAGAAATAAGGTAGCGTGAGTTTAGTGAATATGATAGACCTAAAGTACTTGGACTTCACAAAGTCCAAAGTAATTGGATCTAACAAATATATCAGATCCAAGATATTTGGACTTGGTAGCCAACAAAACTTATTGCACTTGAATTTAATAATTATTCTTGTTTATGATAACATGAGTCCGACAAATGTATCAGACTCAAGTGTCTTAAATGCGATAAAATGTTAAGTCCAAGTGTCTTGGGACTGACATGTTTTTTATATCCATGTTTAATTAATTATTTAATTCAAAAATCTTATTTTTAGGCTATTTGGATTAAAAAAAATATTATTATTTTTAAATATATTAAATTAATATAATAAGTGTATTTTTTAAATTATCTGAGAATAAATATAGTATTTAATTTCACAATCAAATAAACAACAAAATACATGAAAAAGTCAAAATCATGTTAATCATCAGAAATTTCCTACATCCGACTAATTGTTTCAACCATTCTACAGTCTATATAAATTAATAAAGTAGAGCATGTTGCTAAAATCATCGTCTGCAAACTGGGTGCCCGAGAATGCTTTCCTAGACGAAGAATCACAATTTCTTGATTTGAGCGGGGATTGCGGTCTCCGCGCACAGTTGTTCGCTTCGCCAGTCCCATGATCTTGGTAATGGGGAGGAAACTAGCACCATTGCAAGTGGGCGACAAACTGCGGCGGAGGGTGGAGGACCCCACCACCTCGATATTCATAAAGATTTTGTAGATGGTGCTGGCTGATGAGTTGGCTACACGCACTCCTAGGCTTCGTTATTGGTTTACGGCATTCTTACGGGTGTTCGAGGCCTGTTGATATTGCATTTTGAATGTGTATTTAAATTTTTTTATTTTTTTATTAAATTAATATTTTTTTAATTGATTACAAGTTCGAATCTTATAATTTCTATTGATTTAAAAACAATTAAGGACAAGGTAATGTGATTTTATGCAAGTTTCAAGCTTAAAAAATTTTTAATTGAGGAGGCATGTTAAATAATAATATAAATTATATATTAAGACCTCACCTAATAACTTAAATTTTTTAGTTGAAATGGTTCTTTAACAGATTTTTTATTTAATTTAGATTTAAAATTAATATTTTAAAAGTTTTTATGATGTAACTCGATTAATTTGATAAGTTTAAAAGCAACTAACTAGTAAAAAACATATTTAGATTTAAAAAAAAAACTCAAGATAATATTTTTTTTAATATTAAAATAACAATATATTTAATTGATTTAGGTTTCATAGTTTAACATGTCAAATTTGTTATTTAAATCATGAACTCTACTAGATTTAAGAATTTTTTAATTATTTTTTATTTAA